AGATGCTTGAATATAGCAAAAGAATGACTATTATGACATGAAAAACATTACACTTCTCCAAAGATGCATGATCAGTCTTTGGCACCATCCTAACAAAAATCCAATTGCAAACACCTTGAAATGATCACCCATTCCAAGATGAATGAGGAGTCCTTCAAACAAAAAAAAAAAAAAGACAAGCAAATATCATTTACCGAGTATCAGATAACATTATGTATATATATAATATAAATGAATTAACAGAAACCCGTAAGCTCACTAAGTTGAATAACATTACATAAATATTACTAATATTATTTGGAGTTACATAACTATTGATAAGGAACAAGTTCTAGGAGTAAAATAGGGCATGAAGTCATATTTTTGTTAGTGGGGTTTAAAGTGGTTATATTTGTGTAATTTTTTCTAAATTAAATGAGGAAGACAAAAATGTGACTAGTTTCAAGATTTCCAAAGAAGTGATCCAACATTCTTAAATCTGTCCTTGATTACATACGATTACTCCATTTATTTTTATTATTATTATTGTTGTTGTTGTTGTTCTTGTTGTTGTTGTTTTACGTTATACTCCCTGCGTCCCAATTTGTTTAGCAAAATTTCCTATTTTGGTTGTCCCAAAATGATTTTCCACTTTCTATTTTGAGTATGCAAATAAAAGTAAGCCACAACTTTACCCTTACTTTTACTTTTTTCTAATCAACCTAAAAGCATCTACTTTTAGGATGGGGGCAAAAGTATAAAAAGCAAACATCATTTATTGTCATTCCTTAATCCTGGTGCCGGTCAAAGTGTTCGCATTGGGGGGAAAGTGTAAGTGTTCGCATTTTCATGGGATGTATGATTTTCAAAGGTTTTCATTTGCAGAACCTATATATGGGTATAGATATACATAGAGGTAGGTTCAAGTAAAAACTAGTGCTCCAATGAAAAAGTGAAAAGAAATCTTGATCTTTAATCACTTGACAATGGATGGATTAAATGAAATTTAGCCACAAGGCATGGTGGCAAAATAATGTGGAAGTGTTTATAGTAAAAGGTGTAGTATATAGATAAAAGTGCACTTACAAGTGCTAAAAAGATTATCAATTTCTTTTAACTTATGCACATTTTATTTTTTATCTTGATGCACTTTTGTGTTGTGTGTAAACACTCTTTGAATATTATACTACACATTGTTTATAATATATTCATATATTCATTACCAAAACACCATAGTGTGCCTAACTTAAAATATGATCTCTTTCATTCATTTTTTCACATTAATGGCAAAAATGCTTCTTATTTTTCACTTAGGAAGCACTTTTATGTGTTTCCTAGCCCTACATGCATACACACACACACGTATGTATGCATGCATATATGTGTTCCAAAATCAGGAAAAAAAATTATATATATTAAATAAAATAATTAACCATATGTACCCACATTGACAAACATAAAATCCATGATAGTGTAGCAAATGACATCAACCCGAAAGAAACATGAGTTAAGGATATTAAACAAATAAGGTCTTAATTTGATGCCAAAACTGACTGGAGTACCAACGTTGGTTGTTAATGCATCCGTCAAGGACTCAAAGTTCTTATAATTTGCTTTGGTGTTGTTTCTAATTAAATGTGGGAAGTGGGACTGTGGGAGTAGTGCATCCACTATGAAAATATGAAGTTTGATTTTATAAAATTTATTCACATCCAAGAATTGAAGGGTTATAGGAGTTATTGTATGAACTATAGCAATTTAAATAAAAAAAAAAGGTTCTTCCACTTTTTAAACCCCAGTACGCCAATCCAGTCTGCATAAAAAATTTGTCCTAGGAAACAAAACTAATTAATGTAATACAGCACAATAAAAGTAAAAGAAAGAAAATTTTATGAGATGCATGCTAATGATATAAAAATCTGAAAAGGTACACACACCGACACACGCATATACATAACCGAAAAACTTTGAAAAATATAATAAAGAAAATACTGATCCTTAGCGTGGAAATAAAATAGTAGAGCGGTGTTCCATATACTTGATTTCGTCAGTTGATCAAAAAATTCACATTGAAGCAAAACTTAATTTTTGTTTGAGATTAATTTATGGAAACAACTAAGACTGAAGATGGAGCATGGAAGATGATACCTGGTGGAAGATCGGCGAAGAAGATGTGAGCTCCTAAACGAATGTGCGGATATCGTAGAATTGTCCTACGCTCCGTATTTCGTATGCATAAATCAAAACCTAATGGCAGGCACAAAATCCCTTCATTCCTCTAACTTTGCCTCATTCTATCTTTTTCCTCCGTCCCATTAAATTTGTCATATATCATATTTGGCAATATTTAGGTGATTACAATTCATTCTTACTTTATTCACACTTTATCAATTTAACATCAATCACACAATTCCATTTTTTCATAAAATTTGGGCCACACTTCTTTGTCCCAAACATAGTGGGACATGACAGTATTGTGGACCGCACATTTTATACAATTTTATATGATTTGATTTGATTTTTTCTAATTTGATTTGATATAAATTCTTTTCACTTGATTTTAATTTTGCCAATTTGATTTGAATTTTTTTGATTTAATCTAGAATCATTCTAATTTCATTGAGTATTTATTATTATTGTAGTTATAATTGTAATTGTAACAAAAAGTATAATTATATCTATAATTATAACTATAAGTATAGCTATTTTAAATATAATTATACTTACAATTATAATTATCACTATAATTATAAATATAAGTACACTTATTAATTTATTTATAGTTATAACTATAATTATAGTATCATTATACTCTTTCCATATTTAAAAGTTTGCTACATTTTTCTATTTAGGATGTATTTAGAGGTTGGTTACGCTTTTCCTTTTTGTAAGGTTTTCCTTTAAAAATACTCAAATTCTCTTACTTATTCTACTTTTAATCTTTTATTTTCTACTTATGTACGTTCTCTCCTACGTTTTCTACATTACTAGTTTTTAAATGAGTTGACATTACTAAAAATGAGTTCACTCTTGTAAATTATACCTTTATTAATATTTCACAGTAACTCCAAGGTACTCTGATCTATATGTACTAATTGGATTTAGGAGTTGTTCCATGCAAGAAAAGTATTATCGACCACAAAAATACTTTGCGGAGTTCATGACTTGTTAATATGAGATACATGAAAGGAGAGTTCAAATCAATGTATAGTTCATAGTTGTTACGCTTGCAAACGCAAAACCTTTACTGTAAATATATTTAATTCTCTATTAGTAAAAACTAAAAAGTATGTCAAATCAGATTTTGAATATTTATTAAGAGAAATTCAACAATATTATTCATGAAAAATGTAATACATCAATAAATAAAGTGTAGCTGTGTAGTCAAATAAAACATGTGAATACTGAAAAATTCAATACGTTACAAACTTGCAGCTAAAAAGAAATCGAGAATAATACATATTGCTATCATGAAAAAGAAATACGGAGTAAGAATATGTCAAGTATAGCATAGATGTATTATCATTATTCTTCTTCAAAATCTGTAAGGATCAATTTCACCCTTGTTGAAAGACCCTACAGGAAATCCCCTAATAGCTCTGTTTACTTGGGACTTAATATGAAGGCCAGGAAGACTTAATTGGTCAGACAATTCACCATTTATTCGCTCAGCCCAAATTGTATACTCCTTACGATTCAGACATTCAGCTTCCTTAAATAACCCTGGCTTCTCCTCCCGACATTGGGCTCCCCCTCTCTCCTAGTCGCAGCAAACTGATGGCCTTCACCAACAACACCTAACAAAAAACTGGCCAGTTTCACCAACCGGAGCTTAGCAGCAAAGAAAAGTTCTCATCTCCTTCACCACGATGGCTCGATCAGTATTCCCTCTCATTGTATATGGGTGTCATTGTATTTGTTTCTTTTTATATTGCGGAGTTTCGCCTTTTTCTCAATCTAATTGCTCACTTTCTTCGCAATCCAATTTCTATTTTTGTTGTAAATTCAGTCCATTTATGTGATTTTTTTTTTGAAAGATTTATGTCATTTTCTTGTAAATTACCTCAAAAGAAGACTGGAGTTTTTAAGGGCCGAGGGAGTATACACGTACTCCCTATAGTTTACCAGAAATTTCAGTTGTTTTACTACGTACTTGTCTACTTGGCCTAATCCAATTTTACTTGCAGTCGATTATAATTTTTTGCAAATTATAGCACGCAACCGGCGCCTATGAAGCACGGAAATTTTTCCCGGCTGACCTTCCCACGTTTCGGAAACTTAAAATTCTCGTTTCGGGCCGTTTCCGTAATTAAGAAAAATTTAGAAACCCGTTTCACTACGTTTCAGAAACCTCGGGTTCCAATTTTTTTTTAAGATTCTGTGGTGGAAAATAATTTTTTTAATAGTGATTTTTTGTGGTAAATCTCAGCAAAAACACTTGTTGCATTTCGTGAAGCAATGTATTGCTAAAAATGTATTACTCCGTACATTTTATGTTTAATTATTATGTACTAATATGAAATAATATCTAAATTCGAACATGTAGAGTGATTTTATTATTTGGTTCTAAACAAATTATATGAAAAAACATGTGCATATGGAAAAACTTATGTACATATATTAAAAAATATTTATAAATATATCGTATCCTATATTTTTTAGAAATTACGTTTCTCGCGTTTCCCATTTCGCGTTTCCATGCTACTTAGACCGGCGCACATGAGGGTGGTGTGACCGGTTGCAAAATGGCTAGGGATGTAAAAAAAACGATCTGTAATGACCCGTCCTGGCTCGAGACATTTGGGGTGGGTCCGCCCCACCCCGTCTTGCAAATGTGGTGGGTCCGGGTATTAGAATTATCTTTATTTTCTTTCTTTTAAATTATCTTTTTAAATTATCCTTTTATAATAGCTTATTTTTTATCTTTATTTTCTTTCTTTTCCTTTTGGTGGTGATATCATGTATCGATTAATGTTAACCAACCCCGATATCTTTTGGAAATAAGACTTGTGACGTCCTCATTGTATGATCTCTGTAATGCAATAATACATAATTTCTGTTGTATATTCTTTCTACATTTTACATATCCATCGAAGTAGTAGTATAAAATAAAGTAGCAACATGATTTCACAAGGAAATGAGGGTGAATTACTGTTCTGTTCTGCCATTTTGTACTACTTTTACTTGATATCCACCTAGTATTCACACGAGGGATTGAGAGAAAATGATTTAATAATGGGATAGATCGCCAAGTACGAGTAGTACAAAATGGCAGTTAACCTATCATAGACATCAACAAAATATACGACACCTGTCTCACATACAACATAAAAGACTTTTCCAGTTTAAATGTCAACTACAGTACTACTTGTGATAGTAATGAATATGCCGGGTCAGGGGTGTCACTTTCTTCGCCCATGAGAAACATGAATGATAGGAAACTAACGGCCTATGAAGCCGAGCCAGTGAAGAAGGATGGCCAAGAGCAGCATAAGTACTGCTAAGATCATACCGGGCTTTCCCAAAATCCAATTCTTCGTCTTTTTCGCACCCTCTACCCCTCTTTGAATTCTATCTGCCCATTTCATCTGCATTTTTCGTGAGAGAAAATGGAAAAGAAAGTCATTTAAACTTCAGTGAAAGAACCACAAAGAACATTTCTACTATATTAATGTGGACAAAGATGGTATATTTCCCGCTGCTGAACAATCGAGCAAAGAAAGTACCATTCTATCCAAGTCATCTGGTGATAAAGATGATATGGCCTGCTGAGCTTTTTCTGCATCCTCCTGAGAAAGGTCAAGTCCGAATTGCTGGCCCATCTTAGCCATCATCTCCGGACTGATGTTTTTAATCAAGGAGGGAAACAACTGCAAGTTTTTTTCAAAAACTGAACGTCAGGTTTTTTATTATGAAAAAGTTAGTGGCCTTGTTTGCTGAAAGACTCTTTTAGAGGGCTTTTAGCCCTTCTCAACATATATTAGCTCGTTGACAATGTCTGGTCAAAGAGCTAACGTTGACACTGGGTTAAGAGCATATTACATGAGCTAGAGCAAGTCGTAGAGGTAATTTAGAGAAAAAAAAATTAGATAAGCTGACAAGACAAATGTTCCATCAATACTTTCTATTAAATATATTTATGCATGTTAATGACTCTTCTAAATTAACACAAATACTATGCAGTATTACATATATTAGTAATTTAATACGTAGTATAAATTAGTACTAATTGCATTAGGTAAATATGAAAAAACAAATCATATGGTGTATCATATTCTGACTAATGTTTAAAATGTAAACAAATAATACTCAGTACATAACTTAACCATCTCCATCCCTAAAAACATCACTTTTCAGTCTATGACACTTGAAGGATCATAAAGTTAATTCTCTCTTATGTGCACATGAAAACTGGTGGTAGACGGTAGTAAATACAATTTACAAATTAGAAACTATACTAAAAGTTCTATTGAACTGTGAAAACCAAATTTGAATATGGCAAAATAGTGGTAGTATGGTACATAAAACTTGAGATCAGAAGAATGTTAAGTTGACTGCAGGAATGGTAAATTAAAAGGGAATACTTCGTATTAAACTTTTGTTGTTAAAAAGAAGAAAATCATTTTCTATTTTTAAACAAATACAAACATAATTATAAATAATAAGAAATTCATAAGGTAAGATATAGAGAAAAAATTATTATAAAAGATAACGCTTTAATATTATTAAAATAACGCAATATCCTTATATGTCATTTCGCATAGTCAAAGAGCTACTATAAGTCTATAACATGCATATCCCTACATAAACCTCACACCAAAAGTTGGTAAACACATATAGTATAGCCCCCCTAACCGCTAAAGCAATCGACTACCATCTGAGCAGGGTGACAGGACAACTATATGCAAAATGCTTGTGATTTGTTGGGCAACAACATTTGAAAAAACTGGAAGAAGAATGGAGGAAAGAGAGTAAATGAGGGAAAAAATATAAGGATGTGACGCTGCATACTGGTTTCACTCAACACTTTGATAAAGGATACAGGCAAAAACATTATGACAGAAAAATGATAAAAGCAGCAATGCAGCATCGTATGAGTAGTTGATAATGTATCCAGGCAATCCAAACTACATACCTGACGCATCGCCGGATCGTTCATTTGGTTTCTCACTTGCTCTTGCAGATCAGTATTTGTGCTTGATAAAGTAGAATTAGAATCATTTCTTGAAATTGAACTAGTCTGGGGTGTACTACTAGTTCTTTTGAAATTGTCTCGAGCATCTTGACCTCTGGACTGTTCATTAGAACAGGATACACCTGCAGAAGCTGCTGAAGGATTCTTTTGTTTAAAAGATGATGCCATTTGAAACATATTTTGGAGATCTTCAGGAGACATCTTGCCCATAATATCAGACGCCATTTTCATCATGTCAGGCGTCATATTTGGTGGTGTTATGCCAGGACCAAAGCAATCACTGTTTGAGTTTGACGGCCCACCTTTTCCCAATGAGGCATCTCCTTGGATTGAGGAAGCAATTTGAACCATTTTTTGAAGCTCTTCAGGGGACATCTTTCCGATAACATTAGAGGCAGTCTTCACCATATCTGGTGGTATGCCTTCCACATTTGCACCACTCATGGAAGCGAAAGTCTCCGGATCCGCACGAGAAATAAAGTTTTGGAAGGATCTATTTTCATGTAAAGGTGAATCACGTGAGTTGAAGGATAGAGGCCAAATACAAGGAAGATAGAAAAACAAACTTGGAGTGTGTTTGTTTCGAGTGAAAAGTAACACGAATTCACATTTCATGGGAAGTTGTTTTATTTTCTTTGAAAATGAGGGTATACAATTCCATCGATGGGAGGTAGTGTGTTTGATTCTGTGCAAAGTTAATTTCCTTTCTTGGGAAAGGGATTTTGTGGGATTCTCCAAACGAACTCTTTGGGGGTGGGAGGGACAAAGAGAAAAATAGTGGAATAAGACATTTAAGCAATAAAAAACATATCATATGACCTTATTGATAATTCCTAATTGCCAATAGGAGAGAAAAGCAGTCAGCATGAATAAGATGAACTAGAAAAGAAGTTAACTCTGGATAAATGAATAAAACTAACATGTTCATAAAGATGTGATGAAAGAATATGGTGATATGCAAATCTCAACCACATTGTAAAATCATCGAATGGGATGGTTTATTAATCAATAAAAAACGCAAAGCGTCTTATATACACTACACAGAGCAAACCTGATTGATTCAGGATCATCTTTTAAAGCTTGCAAACACTCAGAATTAGAAGTTTCTCCTTTTTTTCCTTGTGCTTGCGTCAAAACACAATTGGCGACTGAACTTCCATTGTTTTTAGATGACACATCCTGCTCCTCTTCAGTTATCTCTTCAATGACCAACTCTGTTGAGTAAAGAGAATTCAAATTTTTTATGAGTTCAGAATAAAGCAAGTTAGCAGGTTAACACAAGCACAACACCGACTGATCAAACCAAGCCAATAAACAAGACAAGACATATTGACAATCTAATTAATAATCTATTACAAATCTTTATATGGGGAAGGTACCTACTTTTTGAAGCATGCCCACTCCTTCCTTGTTTCTCCAACCTTTCACTAACATCCCTGCAACATTTTCTTATGCGTGTCAAACCTTGAACATTCAAGAATAGCCCAAACCTCGATGCTTCAATGTTTTAGTTTTGATTATTGGAAGGGATTAGGGGAAAAATAGGCTGGATGATATGGTATGCAGTAAATTTTTTATATAAAAAGCTTGCAATACCTTAGGACATCTTCAATAGTTTCATCAGCAGGAGAAATTTCATGTGCCTTAGTTAAGTCAGACATTGCATCCTGATATACAACAAATAATTATTTTAATCATAATAATAATCATAAAAATGATTGTGGTGATGGTGTCTTTGATAATACGTCAAAAGTGAGTAGGGCAGAATGTGATAGCGAAAAGAACACCTCAGAAAAACACTCACTTCTAGATGCCCTAGTTCTTTATATGCTTGACCCCTCCTGTAAAAGGCTTTAACATTGTCTGCATCATATCCCAAAACCTGCATATTTGTATTCAAGAGTGTGACCCATATAAAAAATGAGATATATCAACATAAAGAAGCCCTTTAACTCAAATGGATCTATGAAAGAAATAACAACCACAAATGAACACATGCATGAAAGCGGAACTGGGGGTGTTAATCAGTCATACCTCAGTACCTTCCCTTATGCACTCATCATAATGTCCAGTCTTTAAGTGACACGACATCAAATTCAGAGAACATGCCATTTTAAGATTTCTCCCTTTAGACTCAGGAACCCCTTTCAAATTTTTCTTTGCCTGAAAATATGAATTTATAACATGAAAATTTGATCAGGTCTAGATTAAAATGTGAAAGCAGCGCAAACAAGCAACCAAAACACGATTTCTTGACTTACAAGCGTATATTTCTGTGAGGCCTCACTGAACTTTCCTTGGTTGTGAAGTTCATTTCCCTAGAATTGTACATATGACTTCATTAATACTTGTCACTGCCACCGTGAGAATTTTGTATAAAGACACAGTGAATGCACAGTTAATAAAAAGCTAGTTATAACATCAACTACTCAACCCATGTCCGGCTGCAAAATTATCTAGAAGGATAACCTAGCTATAAAGTAAATGATGTTGTTATGAGTGTTAGCAATTACATAGTGTATACTTTGCTAAAAAAAAATCCCACCTAGTCCCTGCTTGAACACAATTCTTCCTTTGGCTGCCTACATGTTACTTATTTATATACTACAATAAATAATTAAGACTAGTATAAATATTATTAGGGAAAAGATAAACTTTATTGACAATCAACCTTAAAATCTCAAATTGCACCTCAATTTGGGATGGATGCAGTATTTGTTAAAAAAGGGTAGCCAGTGCAGGAAGGCATTCCTAAAAGGCGAGGGTCTCAGGAAGGGCCCCACCACAATAGTGTAAGGGGCAAGACTCCCCCTATCAAATCTGACAAGAGGCCACCCCCTAGACTTGAACCGTGACCTCTCTGCAACACAACAACACCTTAACTGGTGCACCAAGACTCCCCTTCGGATGCAGTATTTGTTACGTAATAAATCATTATTTTAGCTTCCCTGGTTGTATCAGATCAAATCATACATTTAATCTATAATTTCAGTCCTTTTAAGCCCACTGACATGGGCTCTGAGTATTACTACTGAACAATTAGAAAGAATGTTAGTCACTAGTATGAAACACTTCATCCCGTGAAAAAATTACCTGCTTCTTCAGCATCTGAGCAGCATTGAATTCATAAGTAACCTGTGCATCTAGATGGGAACGCATAGAAGCTATTTCTTCAGGTGATGCATTGGCCACCTTCTCGCCAATACTGGCAATTTCCTCTGGCCTGGTGTGTTTCAACTGCTCTGCAGCATTCCTCAAGTCCTCAGGCCTCAAATTTTTCATGCTTTCAGAAGCCATTCTGATCAGATCAGGATTAGACATCATCTGCGGTATAAGCAATTGTAAGAACATAACTTTATATGCAACATAGATGTTATAATACTTAATACATAGACATAATTAATCTCAAACGAGTAAAAAACGCATAAATGAAATAATCCTAAGATCAGCAAAAGAATAAGGCGTAATGAGAAGCATAAACAGGGAACCTGCTGCTGAATCCGAGCCAACTCAGCGGGTGACATGCGACTCATTTGTTCTTGAGCGATTTTGAACAGCTCCGGATCCATCATCCCGTTCATCACTTGTCAAGAAGAATGCTTAATTAATATCGATGTTAGAATCACAACATTAAGAAGAACAAGGCAAGTAAAAAGTGAGCAATCCTATCTGCAATTTGTACTAATTTGTGATCGATCTCTCTGGGGATGACGATGTAGTTGAGAAAATAAAGAAATGAAGAAAATAATTGATTTTTTTAATCTGTAAATAATTTATTACGGAGTAATACTCTTAAATTCTTTGGACCGCCTACCTCAAGAGAAAGGGAATAATAATGTAGTAATGTTGACCAGCTTTGTGCAATATTTTTTCGTACGATTAATTAGATCATTTTCATTGATTTTTAAAAGGAAAAAAAAATCAATTTTTCCATTTACATTTTACATATGATTAAAATAAATATTATTTATAAAATGTGACTAGTGATTAAAGTATTAATGAAATTATAATAATTTATGTTTAAATTTTATATTTAAATTACCATGACATCACATTGTAGTAAGACATATTTGTGTATGTAAATTTATACTCCGTAATGTTTATGTAAATGGGCATAAATGAGTCAACGAAAACCGCACGCACTTTGTCAAAGAGGAAGGCGGAGAAAACAACCCCTAAATTTAGGGGAGATGACCTCTGCTTGCTTTGTCTATGCCAAAACTTCGATCGGCACTTCAAATATTTCTTATGCAATTAGTATCGAGTATCACTTTTTCTTTGTAATAACCAAATTATTTAAAAAATTATTAATATCTTAATTATTTTCAAACTCAGCTTTTTTTCTTTATTATTCTCTGCCACATTTTATGGTGTATGTCAATGTAATACGAAGTACTCCCTCCGTCCCCTTTTAAATGTCCCGTTTTACCATATTGGGATGTCCCTATTTAATTGTCTCATACCTTATTTGATAAACTTTGTGTGGCTCAAAATCATTCTTACTTTATTCTTACTTTATCAATTAATATCAACCACACAAACTCACTTTTCTTAAAATTCGTGCCACCATCTCCCGTCCCATTTAAAAGGGGACGGAGGGAGTATTATTTCGCCCTAGGAGGCTAGCTAGGATTCTGTGCAAAGGTCTAATAGTTAAAATAGTTTTAACTCATTATTCATACGCGCGTCTTTAATTTGCATGTTAAAATACTCAAAATTAACCATAAAAAATACTAAAAATTATAAATATTGAGGAGTTCTGTGAGGCTTTTAATAAGAAAAAAACAGCAAAATTCTGGTTAGATCAAAACTTTTGTCCCTGAATATTAAGATCTTTGTTAAATAAATCATTTTCACCTTACCATAAATAAATTAACCAAAAGTATTTTCACTGTGTTGTGAAAGTCAGGTAACTATGTGGAATATGTTTTGCTTCGTTGCAAGGTATACTCTAAATAATTAATGCAAAAATAAATGCAGTATGATAACATTTCGTATTTTATGTTTTATTTTCAGATTAAAAATATATATAAGCTTTTATTAAGATGATATACTTAGGTCCTATCTCATACTACTTTTCATTTTAAGCTTCTCTATCAACCCAGTTCCTCGATTGCTTATGTTTACAAGGTTTGTTCGTTTTTCTATCAATGGAGTTTTCCTCACATGCACATAAAATATGGGTGCATCAGGGTGTATGGATTTTGTACTTTAACTGTTTTCCTCAATCGATATTAGAACAAGGTTTGTTTTTCAGTGACTTAGATGCTTACGGTCCCTCTTATTCGGTTAATTTACATACAAAATTTCCGGCTGAATTTAACTAATACGTAGTACTTTAAAAGGAAAATACCTTATTGATTAATGATATTGATGTGGAGCGAATTCTGGCTGAGGGACCATGGTCTTTTGACAATAACCTGTTAATACTTAGTAAGCCGGAACCTTTGGAAAACCCAGCTGATGTACCATTAACGCATGAATGTTTTTGGGTGCAAGCATTTAATCTGCCAGCATCTTTTTTTACGGAAAAGATGGCTGTTATCATTGGCAGGTTTGTTTTAGCAGACCAGAACAATTTCAAGGGTAGATATCTTGAATTTATAAGGATCCGTGTACAATTGGACGTGAGCAAACCTCTGAAACGTCGGGTAAAGCTAAGGAACGGAGCAGAATCTGTCTGGGCAGAACTGAAGTATGAAAGGCTGCCTCACTTCTGTTTCATCTGCGGAAAGATGGGTCACGTTGATAGACTCTGCCGGGAATGGTTTCAGGGATTTACGGCTGAGCAGGAGAAGCGGTTTGGGTCTTGGCTAAGGGCGGGGGTAGGAAAAAGAACACCAGATTGATGCACATGGAGGGAGTTTTGAAGAAATCCATCCAAAAAACGGATTAGAGGCGGGTCCTGGCAGTCAGGCCCGCCTAGGATTATGAGCTGCATCAGTTGGAACTGCCGAGGGCTTGGCAACCCTTTGGCAGTTCAGGTCCTAGTGGATATGATCCACTTGAAGCGGCCAAAGTTGGTGTTCTTAATGGAGACTTTCTGCAACAGTTCCAAGATTGAGATGGTACGCAAGAAGACTGGTATGCACGCTGGATTTGGGGTGGATAGCATAGGGCATCGGGGAGGCATTGCTTTACTTTGGGAAGATGGGGTACATGTTGATGTTCGGGACTCATCCCCAAATTTTATTGATGCTTGGGTCAGGATGGAAGATGAGAAGCCCACTTGGCGTTTTACCGGCTTTTACGGATTTCCGGAAAGGCATAGAAGAAGGGAGTCTTGGGAGTTATTGAGGTTACTTAGTTCTCGATCACAACTCCCTTGGTTAGTTATGGGGGATTTTAACGATATTCTTTTCGCTTCTGAAAAGAAGGGGAGGGTTCCTCATCCGCCGTGGCTTTTGAGGGGATTTAGAGATGCAGTGTATGGGAGTGGGCTTCATAATGTATCGTTTGAAGGCTATCAATTTACCTAGGAACGGTGGCGTGGTTCGCGAAATTGGGTGGAGGAAAAGTTGGATAGAATCTTGGCTTCGACAAGCTGGATGGAACGGTTTAGTGAGGCGGCAGCTCAATCCTTGGAAGGTTCACCCAGCGATCACATGGCTTTATACATTTGTCTATCTCCAGCAAGAGGTATAAATCGTCGGAGGAGGTTCAAGTTTGAGAATGTCTGGCTCCGGGAAGAGGATTGTCATGAGGTGGTGATTCGGGGGTGGCAGTTGGGTCGTGAGGGTGGTGTCATGGGGCAGATCTCAACTTGTGCTAAGGCTGTGGACATCTGGGGAAAAATAAATATGGGAAATATAGTCGACGGATTGCTTTCTGCAAACGGAGATTGGAGTTTTTAAGGGGAAGGTTTGATTCCTGGGGCATGGCTGAATTTAGCCGAGTTCGTAGTGAGTATTTGGATTTAATAACTAAAGAAAATCTTTTCTGGAAACAACGTGCTAAAGAGTTTTGGTTACGCGATGGAGATTCCAATTCTCGCTTTTTCCATAATGCTGTTAAGCAGCGTCGTAGGAGAAATAAAATTAAAGGCTTACGACGTGAGAATGGCATTTGGGAGTGTGACAGAGGGGAGATGGCTAATATCATTGGTGATTATTTCTCTGAATTTTTTTCCTCCATGCAGGGATCACGTGAAGCAGCTTGGGATGGTATTTCACGACGTTTGGAAGAGCATCATAATAATGACTTATTGCGGCCGATACGGAGTGAAGAGGTTAAAGAAGCTTTATTTGCCATGTATCCCGATAAATCCCCTGGACCAAACGGCATGAGTCCGGGTTTTTTTCAGCATTTTTGGGAATCCATTGGTCCAGATATTGTAGGGTTTTGCAAGACAGTGTTCTCGACGGGCAAGCTCCCAGATGGTATTAATCATACACACATTGTTCTTATTCCCAAGAAGGATCAACCGGATAATTTGAGTGACTGGAGGCCTATTGCCCTTTGCAATGTGGTGTACAAGGTCTTTGCTAAGTTACTGGCAAATCGTATGAAAATCTTGCTTAATATTTGTGTGTCAGAGCAACAAAGTGCATTCATCCCAGGCAGGTCCATTGTTGATAACATCATGATAGCTTTTGAATCACAACATTTTCTGAAACGTAAACGTCAAGGGAAGATAGGTTATGCGGCTTTGAAGCTCGACATGACCAAAGCTTATGACCGGGTTGAATGGTCTTTTGTGGAAGGGATGCTTCGCCATATTGGCTTTGCAGATAAATGGATCCAACTGGTAATGGAGTGTGTGAGTTCTGTTACTTAGGACATGTTTACTTCACCGGTTATTAAACGGTGCTTATTAAGACTCGTGTTAATAAGCGGCGCATAAAATAAACAATGTTGTAAGACCGTGTTTACTTCAAACTGTTTAAAACACCGCTTAACATTAAAATGTCTAAAATAACCCTATACATATATATACACAAATATTCATGAACACAAGTATATAATATAATATGTGTACCCATACCCCCTAATTAACCCCTTACCCACCCTACCTTACCCTGACCCCAATCAGCCCCTACCCCTACCCCACCCCAACCCTACCTACGACCCTACCCCTACCCGACCCCACCCTACACTTACCCCACCCTACCCGTCCCCACTTTGATCCTACCCCCGACCCCATAGGCCCCTACCCCCATAGGCCCTTACCACATCGACCCCACCCTGACCCCACCTTACCCTACCTTACCCCAACCCCACCCCTACCCCTACCCTACCTTACCCCGATTACCACTACCCTACCTACCCGATCCCACCCTACCCCTACCCTACCTACCTGCCGCAACTCTACCCGACCCCACCCCTGTCGCAACCCTACCCCGACCCCACCGCACCTACCCTGCGCCTAGCGCCTCTATCACATCCGCCCGACCCCACCAGCCTAGGTATATGGTAGGGTAAGGGGTGGGGTCGGGGTGGGGTGGGGTAGGTGGGGTAAGGGTATGGTGGGGTGATTGGGGTCGGGTAGTGGTGAGGGTGGGTCGGGTAGGTAAGGTAGGGGTGGGGTTGGGTAGGTAGGGTAGTGGTAGGGTGTGTTCGGGTAGGTAGGGGGGTTGAGGCGGGGTAGAAGGGTAGAGTCAGGGTAGTAGGATGGGGTCGGATAGGGTAGGGGTAGGGTGGGGTTGGGTAGGTGGGTAAGGGGCGGGGTAGGTAGGGTAGGGGTAGGTGTGTGGTCGGGTAGGTAGGGTAGGGGTGGGGTCAGGTAGGTAGGGTAGTGGTAGGGTGGGGTCGGGTAGGGGTAGGATGGTGTAGGGTTGGGTTGGGTCAGGGTAGGGGTAAGGTGGGGTCGGGTAGGTGGGGTAAGGGTAGGTGGGGGTCAGTTAGGTAGGGTAGGGTGGGGTCGGGTAATGGGGTAGGGTTGGATCAGGGTATGGTAGGGGTAAAGTGGGGTCGGGTAGGTGGGGTACGTGTAGGGTGGGGTCGGATAGGTAAGGTAGGGGTAGGGTAGGGGTGGGGTCGGGGTAGGGGTAGGGTAGGTGGGGTAAGGTGGGGGTCGGTTTGATAGGGTAGGGGTGGGGTAGGTAGGGTGGGGTCGGGGTCGGGGTCGGGTGGGTAGGGTGGGGGTGGGGTCGTGGTAGGGGTAGGGTAGGTGGGTTTGGGGTCGAGGTGGGGTCAGGTAGGTAGGTGAGGTAGGGGTAACAATAGGGTAAGGGCAAGGGGCAAATTCGGAAACTGAAAAAGCTTAAAGTGTCGCTTAATTAATACATGGGGGTGGTATGCTTAATAAGCGGCACTTTAAGCACCTCTTTCGGTTAGTAAGCGGCTTTTTAAGCAGCGTGCGTGTTTATTTCATCTGTCTTACTAACCTAACTGTGACTTTAGCAGTGAAGTAAACACCTCCTTACTCTATTCCATTCGATAATAGAGAGATTGGGCCCATTTATCCTACGAGAGGGTTGAGACAAGGGGATCCCCTTTCACCTTATCTCTTTATATTGGTGGTCGAGGGCCTCAGTGCTCTACTTCGAAAGAAAGAACAGTTGGGCCAAATTCACGGAGTGTCGGTGGCTAGGGGGCTCCGCGGATTTCACATCTTTTATTTGCCGATGATAGCTTGCTCTTCTTTCAGGCAAATCATGGAGAGGCGTCTACTATTAAAGAGTCTTTGGAGGAGTATGAGCTCGCTTCAGGGCAGGTTATTAATTTCCACAAGTCTAAATGAGTTGTGGAAATGTATCTGTGGAGTATAGAATTGGCTTGGCCGAGATGCTTAGGGTTAACATGGCTGGGTCCGAAGAAAAATATTTAGGCTTGCCAGCCCTCGTGGGGAAAGGGAAGAAGGAAATCCTGAGTTACTTGAAGCAAAGGGTGGTAAATCGATTAAATGGTTGGAATAATAAATTTCTTTCCAGGGCCGGAAGGGAAATTCTTTTGAAAACTGTAATCCAGGCTATACCTTCATACGCTATGAATGTCTTTCTTTTGCCAAATGAGTTGTGTAGGGAGTTAGAGGTGCTCATGAATGGTTACTGGTGGAATGGCAGAAATAGTAAGGGGATAAGATGGCGTGATTGGGGATGGTTGAGCAGACCAAAAAAAGTGGGAGGATTGGGTTTTCGACATCTAAGAGATTTTAATATCTCAATGCTGGCTAAGCAAGCATGGAGATTATTTTCAGAACCGAATTCATTGGTCAGCAAAATCTTTAGAGCACGGTATTACCCTTCAGGTAGTTTTTTGACAGCATGTTTGGGGAATAATCCATCTTTTATATGGAGAAGCATTTTTGAAGCCCAGAATGTGATACGAGAGGGATATAGATGGCAAGTGGGGAACGACAAATCTATCAAAATTTGGGAGGATCCGTGGTTGCCCGATGGAGCAAATCCGAAGGTCTCTTCTGAGGTTTGTATAGGGCTGGATAAGGCCTTAGTTGAAGGTCTGATTTCTCACAGTGAGAAGGCTTGGGATGATGACATTTTAGCAGATCTGTTTAATGTAAGAGACAAAGCTTTGATCAAAAGTATTCCGCTTAGCGTGCGTGAGGTGCCAGATAGAAAGGTGTGGCGTTGGGAGGCGAGCGGCAGGTTTTCTGTCCGTAGTTGTTATCGTCGATTAGCTGGAGATATTCAGGTCGAAGGGTGGGTTGGCTGGACGGAGATGTGGAATTGGAGGCTGCCGCCAAAAAGTAAATCTTTTTTTTGTCAACTTTGTTCGGATTGTTTGCCCACCACGAAGAATTTGTGCAGCCGGATGGTGAATTGCCAGGAGGTTTGTGGGCTTTGTGGAAAGGATGATGAGTCGGTGTTACATCTTTTTGTCCGCTGTCCGGTGGCGGTCGAAGGTTGGAAAGCAATTGGGTGGGATGTCAATGGTGCGGCAGGTGGAAGCTTTTTGCACTGGCTGGAGCTGATTTTCCAAGCCAAGAAGAAATCTGAGTTAGAGAAAGTTGTTTGGGGCTATTGGGGCTTATGGGAGGAAAGAAACAGGCGGGTTTGGCAAAACAAAACTTTGAATGCTTCCCAGGTTATGTTTAGTGCAAGTTGCTTTGTTGATGGTTGGCTATTTGCACAGCAGAAGGACCAGGCCAAGGTGACAGCTTTAGGAGCTCAGGTTTGGCGATTACCAAAGCCTGGATGGTGTAAAATGAATGTAGATGCAGCGAGGGACCATACAGGCAGCTGGTTCGGGTGGGTTGTTCGCAACAGCAGCGGGGATTTCGTTGGGGGAGGCATTAAAAGTGGGCGGGGCAGCTGCTCTTCTCTTGAAGCTGAATTGCTAAGCATTCGGGAGGCCTTGCGTTGGATTAAAGACTAGAGATGGGACTTCGTGGAGGTGGAATCTGATGCTTTGCTTGCTATTTCTGAAATTCAAAACGGTTCCAGTTTGTCTGCGATTGGTATTATAGCTGAGGATATTAGACTTATTAGTAAAGATTTTGCTAATATTTTTTTCTCTTTTGTTAAACGATCAGCGAACATAGTGGCTCATGAGTTGGCTAGAGCAGCTAGTTCTATGTCTGATTGTCAATTTTGGATGGATATTCCCCCTTCTTGTATTGTTGAAGCTTTGTCCTTTGATTTGATTAATGCATGTTGAGTTGATTTCCAAAAAAAAAAATTATACGGAGTACTTATTTGTCATGTGTGTATCGAGCATAAATTAACTGGTAATGAAGTAGTTAATTTTTTGTTGTTCGTACATTTCATTCACTTTATAATACAAAA